TTTAGCATCATCTTTAATAAATGTCATATCTTCAGGTACAGCAGAGAATGAGAAGGCAACATGAGTATTTTGTTTTTTTTGTGTGCTTTTTTTTTTTTAAACATAGGATGAGCAGATGGATGGATTAGAAAACAAACTTGTGCACAAGGCCAATTTCATCATAATTGGTCAATTCTGTTCAGTCCAGCAACCTGATCTACAAGCTATATTGTCACTCATTGCAAAGCTGAACAAACACTACATTACATTGCCTTTCATTGCCATGCAGATCTAACAAAATGCATTATATCTAATCTTTTTATGCATATAATCCTTACCCTGTATGCTTAGATATTGGCTTACTAAGTGATTTAACACATGCAACGAGGATACGAGTACTTGAATGTTCAATAAAAATCATGCTGGGATGCAAACATATCTGTAGGTTGATGAATGCTGTTTATATGTTTTAGGTGCCTGATGTCTCTTAGGGGAAAATTAGTGTCAACTGTAAAAAATTAACTACCTAGAGAAATCAGTATTCCTCTCAAGCATTTACAAACTAAACTACTATATATCATTAAAATAATGATAGCCTCACGCTGTATAATTGTCAAAAGTATTGTAACCTAAATTTAGATGATTTCTATACAGTAGCAGACATAGAATATAGATGGGACAGAAACAGCAATAATCCTCTTAATCCTTATCATACTTTCTGTGTTTATATTCAGACTCTCTTATTACTTTCCCACCAAGTCAGAGCCATTGTTCTTCAGGAATAAGGATAAGGAAGTTCAGTTTGAAATATTCAGCCTGAACTTTGGCTGTTCAGCATTCAGTGAATGGGCAAATTAAAGGAACCTCCAGCTGCACTTAGAGTCCAAGATGGTTTTAATTGTTGGTAAAAAAAAGTCATATAAAAACAGTCAATGAATTTCAGGGGCAACACCACTACTCCTTCATCAAGGTTCAACAAAAGACACAACTTGACTCCTTCCTGTATTTCGATGGTTTAAGCTACTGTTGAATGTCCATCAAGGAAAGCCTTACTGTGTGGGAGGTGCCTTATCAGAGCTATCAAGCTTGTTTGAAATTTTCCTTCCTCTGAGAACCCATGTAAGTCTAAAAGTTCCCAGAACTACTGCTACAGGGTGGTAGGGCTGCTCAAAATCACATATATATTTTGTATTTCTGGGTAGGGAGCACACCCTACCCACCATTGGCAGCTACAGCTGTCAATCACCGGGTACCGGCCGGAGGTTCCCCACCGGCACCCGGCGTTCGCCGAGGAACACTGACAGGGGAGAGGTCTGCATGTAAACAATACAGATCTCTCCTCTGTCAGCACTAGCATGCTGCTTTGTCCTGCTCTGCATAGCAGAGCAAGACAAAGCAGCATGCTTACATAGTAAAACAGCACACATCATATAATGTAAAACACACACAGCACACAGTTAACTCTTTGATCACCCCAGATGTTAACCTCTTCCTGCCCAGTGTCATTAGTACAGTGTCAGTGCTTTTTTTATTAGCATAGATCACTGTATTAGTGTGACTGGGGATGTCAGTGACAGTTAGTTCCTCTCAGTCTCAGAATGCCTGCTGCAGTCCCGCTATAAGTCGCTGATCAAAGCCATTACAAGTATATTAAAAAAAAAATCCAGTATATATACCGCCATTTGTAGACGCTATAACTTTCACATAAACCGATTAATTTACATGTATTGGGATTTTTTTTTTTAGCAAAGATATGTAGTAGAATACATTTTGGCCTAAATTTATATGAAATTAGATGTTTTAAAATGTTTACTGAATATGTTTTATAGCAAACAAATTTAAATATTGGGTTTTTTCAAAATTGTCGTTTTTTTTTTTTAGTTTATAGTGCCAAAATAAAAAATGCAGAGGCAATCAAGTACTGCAGAAAGAAATATTTTTTTTTGGGGGGGGGGGGGGGAAGGACATAAATTTCATTACCATGCAATTGTCAGTTGAAGTAACTCAGTGCCGTATTGCAAAAAATGGCCTGGTTAGGAGGGGGAGGGGTAAATCCTCTGGAGGGGAAAGTCTTTAAAGCGGACCCTAAAAAAATCTTGTATAAAGCTGTGGAAAATGCTGGCGCTGTTTTAAAGTCTACCGCTACCACTACTACTACCAGGGTCGTGGATAAGGGGGTACCACCAGTCCTCCTGTACGGGGCCCAGACCAGCAGGGGGGCCCAGGCAGCTGGGTGAATCGAATGTGGGCAGAGAGGGTGATCGGCACGTGGGGGTGCAATTACTGGAACCGATCCCCTGTATAGCTCTCTCTGCAGCAGCTGTAAGCTGGCTTCTTCTCCTCTCCCTCCCACTGGCTTTCAGCTGCTGCAGAGAGAGCCATACAGGGGATTGGTTCCAGTAATCGCGCTCCTGTCGCATCTTATCACCCTCCCTGTGCACCAAACGTTTCCCCATGCTGCTCAGCCACCCCCCCCCCCCCCCCCCCCCGTGTGCCCCCACCCACCGCAAAACTTCCAGCTATCCTCCCCTCTTTCCTACCAGCAGCTACAATAGGTTCCTTCAGGATGGAGAGTGGTTGAAGGGTCCGGTAAATATGTCACATTTTACCAGCCCCTTTCTTTGCTCGGTACAGACCACTCACTGTGTTCATTCATAACCGAAGCATTGTAAACTGTGTTTTTTTTTGGGGGGGGGGGGGGGCTCTGTCAGGTTGGCTGTATGGGGTCTCGTGGTTTCTAACAGCAGCCCTGACTACTACTACCATCACTGCTACTTATAATGGTAAAAATGATCATTATTATTGCTTATTCTGCAGCAACTACAGCTAACATAAAAAAAAAACAGACAATCTAATACATATTTTCTGGTATATCTTAATTAATGTTCTGTTATCAACATTTACCTGTATGTGACTAGTGTATGACCAGCTCATATTCACAATGAGTAAATGTATTACAGACATTCCTTGTGTCAAAGATTTACCTCTTTTCTTCATGCTACCTAAAAGAAAGTAAAAAAATAAAACTGAAGGTAACAAAGAAAATGGAACTGTTAAATGGTATGCTATCATGGAAACATTTCCTTTACGCGAAGAAATATGTCCAAGCATTACTTACTGTACAATAAACCCATGTATCCAGTCTTGGATGGTTACAGACACTTGTCCCAATACTATGCATTGTAGAGCTTTATTTAAAGCATTTTGAAAGTTCAAACTTTACTTTTGTGATTTGGATAGATTAAGGTTGGGTTAAAACCCTGTAAGTTTTTTTTCTTTGCTATATGGGTCACGTTGAAGTTTCAATTTATTTCCTGAACAGGAAGTGAGACAAATACTCTGTGAAATAAGAACAATCCCTTCTTGTCTAGGTGTCTTCCTTGGAATATTTTGTCCTGTTTCTTTGATAATTGAATAATTTTGGATTTGGATTTCTGTTTACTTTGTCTCCAAAAAATGGATATTATATTTGTTATATATTTCATTGTGTACTAGATTGTGTGTGTCAAGAGTATACTGTGTCTGCTATACAGGGAGTAGGCTCAGGTATTAAATAACTGTTTGTCCCTTTAAGTCTCTCCCTCTGTTAGCACAATTTGTTCAATGCCTCTGGTCTGACTATTGTAATAAATGTCTAGATGAGTTCACTGCAATGTCCCTGATTTACTAAAACAAATTAGCAATAGAAGAGAATGATTGACCAGAAACTTGGATGGTTTTTAATATACATGAAACTCTAGGAAAGTGTAAATTCAGAGTTCCCTGTGACATCACTGACTACAACTCTATATATGGTTGCGTGGCATTTGATATAAATATATGTGTTTTATGATTCCAAACGTCCAAACGAGAAATAATGCAAACGTTTTTTTCCTACCAACACCTGGGACAGACTGACAACTCATGGGGCCCCCAGGCAATAGGGGATCATGGAGTCCCTGTGTCCTTGCCCACACTCAAACCACACCCACAAAAACCTATGAAAGGTACCAGGGGCATCTCATGGGGCCCCCTGCTAACCCTGAGCCCGAGCACCCAAATGGTCAGTCAGCCCCTGCTTGTGGGTGGATCCACACCCAGGTGTGCTGACATGCTGATGTTCCAGTAAAAGTGTCTTCATTGAACCCTATCCGGGGATTTCCCCTCACATCCTGTTCTTGACACACATTTATAGACAGGAAGTAAGACGAAATGTTCCTTCATTTCCTGTACTTTCTGAAACTCATTAAATAGACAGAAAATAAAGAAGAACTCTTCAGGCACCCGAGTGCCTGAATAGTCATTCCGCCCCTGACCCACACTATGGGACTGTAGGCAGTATTCTTTATTCTATACAATAAAAGACCACAACTCTTATTGTTTTGGTGCTAACTTGGCCTTGGCTATTTTATCATTGGCTTATCACTTGGCTACAGGGCACTTTTACCCCCTTCCTGCCCAGGCCAATTTCCAGCTCTCAGCGCTGTCACACTTTGAATGACAATTGCGCGGTCATGCAATACTGTACCCATATTACATTTTTTTATCATTTTTTTGTGACAGATAGAGCTTTATTTTGGTGGTATTTAATCACCTCTGGGTTTTTTATTTTTTCTTAAAACAAACCAAAAAACGCTTTTTTTTTTCTTTTTTCTTAGTTTTTGTTGTAAAATTTTGTAAATAAGTGATTTTTCTCTTTCACTGATGTGCGCTAATGAGGCTGCAGTGATGGGCACTGATAGGCTGCACTGATGGACACTGATAGGTGGCACTGATGGGCACTGATGAGGAGGCACTGGTAGGTGGCACTGATGGGCATTGAGAGGCATCATTGATGGGCACTGAAAGGCAGCACTGACATATGGCACTGATGGGTGGCACTGATAGACGGCACTGATAGGTGTCACTGACTGGCACTGATAGGCAGCACTGACTGGCACTGTTAAGTGGCACTGATTGGCACTGTTAGGCGGCACTGACTGGCACTGATAGGAGGCACTGATGGGCACTAATAGGCGACACGGATGCACACTGATAGGCGGCACTGACTGGCACTGATAGGTGGCACTGACTGGCACTGATTGGCAGCACTGATAGGTGGCACTGATTGGCATTGATAGGTGGCACTAACTGGCACTGATGGGTGACATTGAAAGGCAGCTCAGATGGGCACTGATATGTGGCATTGATGTGCACTGGTAGGCACTGATATGTGGCATTGATGTGGCACTGGCACGTTCAGCACCGGCAGCTGGCACTGATGGACACTGACAGGTGGCACTTCTGGGGCCACACTGATCATCAGGGCACACTGATCATCAGTGCCCTGATGATCAGTGTACATGTCCTATCCGCGGAATGCCGATTACCGGCTCTCCTCTCCTCTCGAGCTGTCAGCGTGACAGCTCGTGAGGAGAGAAATGCTGATAACCGGCATTTCCCTGTTTACATGTGATCACATGACCGAGCCGACATCTTCGGCTCTTTCCATAGATCGGTGATCCGCTGTGTCCGAGGGACACAGAGCACCGCCGTTCGCCATGCTGCGCGCTCCCTGAGCCGCGCATGCGTGGTGAGAATGGTAGGACGTCATATAACATCCTCCCAGAACGAGAGAACCACCTTGCGCCCGTCATTGGACTATACGGCGGGCGGGAGGTGGTTAATATAGTTAGTAATGCCAGTTAAATGAGATCTCACAAATGAAGAGGACAGGCTATACCGACTGCATCTGCTTCTGGAAATAATGTGAAAAATTCTGTCATCTGAAAGCGAGACAAAGAATCCACCAGAAGAGTACTCTTTCCCGCAACATGTTTGGCCTTTAACCTAATATTCAAACTAAGACTCTTGAAAATGAAACAACGCATTAAGATGATAAGAGGTGGTGGTTCAGAAGACAGACAATTTATAGTGTACATAACGTCCTAACTATCTGTACTCAGAAAAATACACCTGTTCTGAAAAAAGGTCCCCCATAATTCAATTGCAACAACTACAGGGAAAAGTTCAAGAAGGACTATGTTCTTTAAATAACCCTTAAATCTCCATGTAAAATGCTAGAGTTCAGCACACCAATGTGTACGCCAAATGGCTGCAAAACCAAGAGACCCAGCAGCATCCGTGAAAAGCTGCACGTCAACATCAAAAACAAAACCTTGTTGCCAGACCGTCCTCCCATTAAAGTGGTCCAAAAATTTATACCATACCAACATGTCTTCCTGCATGTCATGGGACACCCTAACCATGGGCGGATGGAGATTTCAACCCTGACATATCCAGATAAAGTCTGCGAGAAAAAATTCTCCCGATAGACAAAACCCTAGTGGCAAAAGCCAAGAGACCCAGAAGAGTTTGCAATTCTTTCAGGGTTACTTTCTTTTTAAAAAATCAAGCTAATAAGTAAATATTTGATCTTCGATATTTTTTCAGCTGGGAGCCCTAATTCCAAATTCAAAGTATCAATGGTGATACCAAGAAAGTCCAAACGACACGATGGTAAAAAAACATTTTTTCATGCGCAAGTGGAATTCCAAAGCTATCACAAACATATAGAAAAGCAGTTAATAATTTACTGCAGCCATCAGTTACAGCTGGGCCCAAAAAAAGGAAGGAATCATCAAGGTAATGAATCAAGGGATTAGAACCCGACACCTGAGAAGTGGCCTATTCCAAGAAAGTAGAAAAAGCCTCAAAATAAAAACAGGAGATAGAACAACCCATCGGGAGGCATTTATCAAAATAAAAGAAATCCTCAAAGAAAATACCTAAAGCATTAAAACAGCTAGGGTGTACTGGCAACAATCTAAATGCAGATTTGATGTCTGCTTTAGCTAAGAGTGCCCCTGGACCTAATTGCCTAAGTTTCTGTAAAGCATCCTCGAAAGAAGCGTAAAGCACGGAAACAATCTCTGAACAAATCTGATCATTCAAGGAATACCCTTTTGGAAAAGACAGATTGTGAACTTACCTGTATTCATTTGATTTCTTTTTTAGAATAATACCTAACGGAGATATTCTAAAATCGTGAAAAGGCAATTCTTTAACCCCTTCACGCCGGCGCCTCCCAGCCCTTTAAGAGTTTCAGAAGCCGGGAGGCGTCGTCATGGCAGTCACATGATTGGAAAAGGTCCCGATCTAAAGAGAAGACCAGGACCTTTCCGTGAGTACTGGACATGTGTGCTGGGAGCGCGCAGGGCACACGCTCTCAGCACATATGTTTTTTTTATCATTGAATGCAAATGTGCGGCCGCTCGGCATCTAGGCCCAGACGCTGAGAAGCCACACATTGCGTGAAGAGGTTAAATAACTTTTTGCGCACAATATCATGTACACCATCCACAGATTTTAGATTGGGCACAATAGTACAACCTACCCCAGTGAAAGACGGTAAAACAAAACCATCTTGAAATCCACTAAAAAGCATTTGAGCCATCCTGTTGTTTGGATAGATTTGTAATCACGGCCAGAGTGCGTCCAGTTTCACCGGAGACATTGACTTTAAAAAAGACTTCACTACCTGATTGGTGTGGATTATTGGCCAGTTTTTTTAAACATTTGGCAATGGGATGTGCTCTGGAACAAAAGGCACACTCATACCGATATTTGCATGAAGCTGGCCATTTGCAGATTGCATCATTGTAGGAAAAACAAATTCCTTTCCTGTAAGGGGCATTGGTGGCGGAGGCGTTTGCAGGCTGTGGTTTCACAAAGGTTGACCGTTGGGGTAGAAAAAGATTAAGCCATAAGCCCACATCTTTAGTACCCCACTGCAAGGAAGGGTGAACTGACAATTTCTGTCAAAAAGATTTGTCATACACAAACCAAGAAATTCCACCAAAATTTTTATATGCTTCCAGAATAATATCAATGTGGTGAAAAAGACCAGAACTCCTATCCGGATACTTTTCACACATCACACTAGAAAAAATGCAAGATGCCTGAAGCCAATTGTTAAAAGAACAAGCTACTGGCTTCCTACGATCCTCTTCTGATCTATCCTCTTTTTTATCCGATTTACTAAGATATTCCTTAGAACACGAAAGTAGGGAAAGGATATCAGCAAAATCACCCTGCCACATTTTTTCTTTAACTCCACTAGATAGATGAAAACCAAACAGTGAAATAAAAGATGGCAAAGATTCCTTTAACCACTTGCCAACCGCAGATAGCCGATTGATGGCTACACTGCGGCCGACCACCCGCAACCCCCCCCCCCCCCCGTGATCTTATGTCCTGCAGACACAGCTGATCACGTGATGTGGTAAAAGGCCAATCACAGCGGCCTTTTACCACGTGATCAGCCATGTCCAATGACACAGCAGATCACCGGTAAATGCAGTTGCCGGTTATTGGTTGCACTTTCCTCACGCTGATTGTTAGAGGATGGATCGGCACTGATCGTCAGGGCACTGTCTGGGGTTCCAAAACTTACAGGACACTTAAACTGGACTTGCAAAAAAATATAACTAATTGCTAAATGACTAAACACTGCATAATATCGCTCTAAGTTTGATGCGTTACTATGAGATGCTGTCACACATGGTAGAAATTCATTTTGCTGCGCGTCACTACAATGCACTGGTTTTCTATGTGTCCTAAGTGATCATTTACAACTCTTTTTTTTTTCACAAGTACTTAACCCCTTGACACCGGTAACACAAATATGCGGCCTAACAGAACTGGGCTTTTTTCCGTGGGCCACATATTTGCATACCTGTCTTTCTGCTGGGAGAGTTCCACACAGCGCACTCCCAGCACAAAGACCTCGGTGTCACTGAGAGCCCTGGGTCCCGTTCTAACGATAGGAACCCGGGACTCCCGAATCTGGGTCACATGTTTGCTGTGATAGCCTCTGATTGGCTATCACAGTGATTAGTCACTTTACAGCCCGGCCCCCTTGTGTTTTTTTTTTCTCTCTCTATGAATGGAGGAGAGAAATACATTGTATCTTTCTAACTCCTGGCATAGAGGGGGAAAAATGTTTGTAAAAAAAGATAGAATAAAGATAAATACATATTAAAAAATAAAATAAAAAATAAAAAAAAAAAAAATACCTAGATCAAGGTTTGATCTAGTTCAGGGCCAGGATAAGTGTTTGGGTCAAGGTCAGGGTCAAAGGTCTCAAGGTCAAAGGTCAGGATTTAAAAAAAAAATGGTATCAGTGTTGTAACCGCGTACACACAGCGACATTTGACCAGTGTGTATGTGTGTTTGGAGTGTCACAGGAGGCCAGGGCCCAGCAGGGGGCTAGGAGCTATAAAGTCCCCAAGGGAGCTGGGGCCTAGCTGTCCGAAGAACCTGTAAAATGTAACACCTCGTATAAGATAAGGCAAACTTTCCATGGAGTTCAAGACATTCCAAGGAAGGCGGGACCAGCTAACACTTTTAAAAATCCATTTTCCCCTATGTCTCATATCTTGGAATATAAGAGACTTACATAAAAACCATACATATCGTCAGATTGGCTAAGAGAAGACAAACAATTTGATAGGTCACTCGCCTTGTCTTGAATACATAGGAAAGCCGAAAAGTAGATCTTGTGAACCGTTCAGTGTATAATTTCATAATCATATCTAATCAATCCTCAGACGTGTCTGCATAATAATCTACCGCGGGTGGAGTGTCACTGGTGCATATGAAGAGTTATGAGCCAAAATATGAGTTAGGAAAGATTTTGGCTCTAGTTTAGGTCCACACCCAGACCTCCACGCCCTAAACGGGGTATTGGTCCTTGACTTCAGAGACACCCCTGCTGGGGAACTACAAATTGGGATGTCAGGCCTAAGAGAAAAAAGTTGAAGACGTCTCCCATTTTAACATCAGTACCACCTGGGGAGACCCGTGCCCTTTTGCTCTGAAACTTGGATCTGCTAACCCAGGACTTTGGCAAGTACCTTAACCCTTTCACCTTTCTTTGATATCTCTTTGCTGTGCTGTTGGTCTCTGTATCTTTATATATATATCTTAGTTACATCTTTTTCTGTAAATATTTTTATTGCACCCATTTGACCTTTTAGTAATAAATCTTTCCTTCTGAAAGTGTTGAACTGTTTCTATAGCTCTCTATTGCAATTTACGAATTCCTGCCTCTAAAGAGAACGCTACTGTGTTTGTTTAACCCTCTGTATAACCGTGTTATACAGACGATTACCTCAACCATTATAGTGTTATAACTAATATCGCCGAGTTTCCTCTTTCTCTGGACAAAAAGGAGGTGGTGGCAGTGTGAAGGGTTAATTGCATAATTAACCTGACCCAGTAACAATCGCTCAGGCTGCCGGTACATCGATTGTGGTCCAAGTAGCTGGAAAATCGTTGTGTAGGGTGCAGCTGGGTGTGCCATTGTTATGCACGTGACATCGCGGTTTTAGATCGGCTAGTCCTTCGGTCAGGAGTTTGGTGAGAAGGTCTGGGCTCTGACGCTGCGATCGTGACAAGTGTCAGTTAGTGTCAGTGTGTTTTAGGTAAAAGAAATAGAAA